CTCCACCTGCAATGACGCAAAATGGCCACGAGATGGCGGGCTATTATAGTCAATGCAATTTCCCATAGACTTTGAAAACCGCGGTTTACATGCAATTTGAAGTCTATTTTCACCCCGTTTTCCCCCCTAGAGTGATGGGGGGCTCAGAGTAGAACTCCTCGTCGGCTTTCGCCACATCTGTAACCTGATTATTTTTATTTATATTAACTTTCGCGATTCCTTCCCTGCGCCTGCCATAACGGAAAACTTCCACCAGGTGGCAGGCTGTTATTGCTGTGCAATTTCTGTACTTCACCTGCCATGACGAAAAATGGCCACGAGATGGCGGGCTATTAAGTTCTTTCCGCCACCTGCAATGACGCAAAATGGCCACGAAATGGCGGGCTATTATTGTCAATGCAATTTCCCATAGACTTAGAAAACCGCGGTTTACATGCAATTTGAGGTCTATTTTCACCCCGTTTTCCCCCCTAGAGTGATGGGGGGCGCCAGAGTCGGATTTCGCCACATCTGTAACCTGATTATTTTTATTCATATTAACTTTCGCGATGCCTTCCCTGCGCCTGCCATAACGAAAAACCTCCACCAGGTGGCAGGCTGTTATTGCTGTGCAATTTCTGTACTTCACCTGCCATGACGCAAAATGGGGCTGGGGGGCAGGGAGGGCGTCAGGTTCAGTGCCAAGGGCAGCCCCACCCTGTCCCGAGCCCTGGCAGCCTCCTGGAGGGCTGAGCTACCACCCCATGCAAAGCTCGGTTGGGGGAGGGGGGCACCTCAGCAGCAGGCGGGGGGAGGCTTTGGAGGCGTGCAGGGCTGTCCCCTTGGCCTCTCCCCCCCCCCCGGCCGTTCTTGACAGGTGAAGCGTGTTCTGCACTTTGCCTCGCAGGGAACACGGGACTCCTGGGCGCCAACCTATTCTTTGAAATGCTGTGCACCCTCCCTGGGGTGAAGAGGCAGCCCGTCCCCCAGAAGGCTGACTCTCTGAATAGAAAGGGGGTTCCCTTCGCCCTCCCCCCCTTGGAAACAAGCAGGATCGGGAATCTGAGGCCGGTTGTTTTTCGTTTTTACAACGTCAAGTAGCTAGCCCTCATTGGTGCAGTGAAAACCCAAGGGCACTGGAGGGGACAGTGGCAGGAGGCCGGATCCCCCCATCCAGGGGAGAGGCTGCAGATGCATTGGCTGAGTCCCTCCCCTCCCCCCCTCCCCAAAGAAGACTGGAACCCAGATTCCTGGGAGAGAGGCAGCTGCCCTCTAGAGCCCCCCCTGAGCCCCTGAAGCGGAGGAACCGGCCCCCTCAGGGGAGCCCACCCAGCGCAAAGGTTAGGCCAGTTTCCCCAGAGACAACCCCCCTCCCCACACCCTGAGTGACGGCACCGTCTTGTGGCCAGACATTAAAATAACTTTATTTCAGCTTCAAACTGGTTTCAGAGTCTTCAAGCCAAGCAAACCCCAACTAAAGGCAGGGCTTGTTCACAGGTACCCGGAAAGGGGAGGGGGAGGAAAGGCTGCCCAATAAATTAATTATTCTCCAACACCCCCCTCCTATCAAAAGTGCAAATAATTCGTCCCTGTTCTTCCAAGCCGCTCCCCTGCCTGCGCCCCCCTTTTCTTCAGCAGGTGGGAGGCAACACAGGGAGGGGGAGGGAAGAGGTGGTTGTGGGTGGGGGAAGGCCCTGAAAGGGGGGGGCTGAAGGCTCTGGGCTGCCTCCTTCCTTTTGGCTGCAGGCCGCTTGGGGGGGTGGGGGGGGGAGTGCTACAGAGTCAGGCCAGTCGCCATCGCTTGGCAAGGGAGCTGCCTCGGCTTTGGCACCGGCCGTTCGAGGGCCCAGGTGGCCCCTCTGTCCCAAGGGGTGTGTGTGTGCGAGGGGGGCATCCACCTTGGCAAAGCTTCACCCTGCGTGCAGCCCCCCCCTCTCCCCCCCCCCCCCCCCCCCCCCCGGCCCCACGCAACGCCCCCCCCCCCCCCCCCGCCCCCCCCCCCAGGGGACCTGCCCCCCCCCCCCGCCCCCCCGCGGCCGGGGCGGGAAGCTACCCCCCCCCGGGGGGGGGGGGGGGGGGGGGGGGGGGGGGGGCGAGCCAGTCCCTTCTGGGGCAGCGCAGCGGGGAGAACAGAGACCCAGAGGAGGCATGCTAGGGAGCACAAAACAAAGCCCCCCACCTCGTTCCTCAATTCCCCCACCGTAAAGGACCCCTGCAGACACCTCTGCACCGGCTTTTGGGGTGGGGTGGGGGTGGGGATTGTATTTCCCAATAGTACCGAAAGGCCTCCCTGCATGGAGAAAGCCAGCACCTCAAGGAAGGGGCAGAGTTCCCTACCATTCGCCAGGAGTTGAAGGGGAGGAGAAGCTGCTACCTGTCGCCCCCCCCCATACCTGATCCAGGCAGTATCTGGACACGCAGATCGGCTCAAAGGACCCCAAACAGCCCCCTGCCCGAAAGAGACACAGACGCTGCCCCTCCTAATAACCCTAACCCGAGGGGCGGCCAAAGGAGGCAAAGAGGCAGCTGCACAACATTGTAAACAAAGGCAACCGAAACGGGGCTGGCTTCAGCCAGGGAGAGCTGGGCGGAGGGGACCCCAGCCTTCCTGCCCGACTGGCACCAGGTGGACGGGGGGGGGGGGGGGGGGGGGGGGGGAGAGGCAAGTGAGCCCATCTTCGAAGGAGCAGCGGGCCGTAAGAGAGTCCGTCCGTCAGGAGTTCTGGCAGCAGCAGCAGCGGCTCCTGCAGACCCTTCGAAGGCTGGGGAAGCGGGGGGGGGGGGGGGGGGGGGCAGAGGAAGAGGAAAATCCCCCACCCCACCCGGGCTCCCCTGAGGCAGTCCGGGCTATTTGGTACCCGGGGTGGGGTGGGGGGAGCAGTCAGTGCAGTTTCTAACTCACTGGGCCTAGGAGAGGTCATCTAAACGCTACAGTCTGTCGGATGCCCGAGGGGCTCCAGGGGCTCCTCCTTCCAAGCCTGCAGTAACGCAGCCGCCTCTCGGCCATTCGGGGGGGGGGCACTTTAATGGGGGTTCAGTCCAGGGCGGGCCAAGAGGGGATGTAAAATCTCTGCAGGGACCCCTCCAGCAGCCGCTCCATCCAGAAGGACAGCCGCTGCAGCTTGCTCTTCACGCCCCGCAGGCTCCCCGAGGAGGAAGGCCTGCCCCACGCCTCCGCCGGGTCGGCTGCCTCGTCCTCGCAGGGACCCTCCTCGGGCTGTGGGGGCCGGAAGAGGCAGAAGTACTTCCTGTGGCCGTTGAGGGCCAGGACGTAGCCAGCGTAGTCGCGCTCCAGGAAGTGCTTGTCGTACTGGTTGGGGATGGGGAAAAAAAAAAAAAAAAAAAAAAAAAAAAAAACCGGCCCACCCGGGGGGTGGAGCTGGCGCAGGAAGGAGAAGTGGAGGCAGCTGCTTCGGCGGGGGGTGGGAGGGAGGGGGGTCCAGGGAGGTCATCCAGAAGAGGCCCAGCCCGGCCCGCTAGGGGCTGGAATCAGGCCGCCCAGCCCTTCCCTCCCAGGCCTCGCAGGTGGGGGGGGGGGCGCACCCCGCGAAGGGGGAGACCTCCTGAGCGAACCTCTGCAGCAGAGGGGTCTTGGTGGCGTTGGAGAGGATGAGGACCACGTTGATGTGGCCAGGCCTCAGACGCACCAGGTTGCTCGTGTACGTGAGGTCCGTCAGCTCCGTCACTTTCACCGAGTACTTCTTGGGGATCCTGCAAGAGAGTGCCAGGCCGTCTCCGCCCAGGGAGAGCGTGGGGGGGGGGGGAGGGGGGGAGGGCGATTCAGCCGCATGAGAGGCAGCCGGGACCCCCAGTTGCGTTGTTAACACAATGCCCCACCCACCCACCTGTCTTCCTTGGGGAAGCTCGTCTCGTTCTTCTCGCTCTTGGGGGGAGGGTCCTCCTTCTTGGAGGGGGGCAGGTCCCTCTCGTCACTCGAATCGCTGGAAGAGAGAAGCCGGGGCTGGTCCAGGGGCTCCGGGGTCCTGCACATCTGGATCCCCCCCCCTCCCAAAAACGGACCGAGGGGCCTCACCTGAACGCCTGCACGATCACCGTCCCGAAGAGGATGAAAAGGGCCGAGAAGATGAGGGACAGCAAAGGCATCATCTCCCGCCTGGAGGAGGAGGAGAGGAGGGACGGCGGATGAAAGGCCCCCCCTTGGCCCCCTCCCCCCGAATGGAACGGAGCCCCTGCCGAATGAACGCAAGGGTGGGGGATCCAAGCGGCCTCTCTGGATCTCACAGGGACGTGTAACTATTGGGGGGGGGGAGCCCAGTCTACTGCTAAGGGTCCAGGTGCCCCCCAGGTCATGAGGGGGCGCAGAGGGGGCCCCGTTCCTCCTTGGAGTTTCCCTTGTCTTGGCAAAGAAGGACTCAACTGGGGGGCCTTTCTACTTTTTTACCAATCTTCCCAAACTGAGGGCAGCAGGGAATTATGGGCTTTGGAGGTGCCTGGCTCAGGAGCCTGGACACGCACCAGTTGCTGCGGAAGAGGCTCTCCCAGCAGTCCACGGCGTAGTCCACGGCAGAGTAGGCCCACCGGAGGAAGAAAACCTGCCACGGAGAGATGCCACGGAGGGTCAGCGGAGAGGCTGGAGGAGGGGAAGGGGCCTGGGCAGGAGGGGGCAGCCCCCAGCTGCTGCAGCGTCACCCAGCCAGGCGGCCTAGCTGAGGGGCCTCCCTCCTTCCAGGGGGCTAGTGAACAATCTCCTCTGTCCCCCGTCCCCCCCCTCGCAAAATCAAAGCCGGCCTATGGACTCCCGAGAGTTCACCAGGCAAGAGAACCCACCTTTTTCGGGCTCTCCGCCCCCCCCCCCCCCCCCGAGGGCTTACAGGCGCCAGCTCGTCCGTCAGGTCCGCCAGGACAGCCTGGGCGGAGAGGAAGGAGGCGTCCATTCTCAGCTGGTCCAGGAAGTCCAGCAGGGTGAAGGTGTCCTCCTCAGTGCCTGTCCAGGGATCCTCCAGGGCCCTGAACACCACCTGCCCGGCGTTGGTGCGTCTCTCGAGGATCAGCACCTGCGAAAGGGGAGGCCGTGCGGGGGGGGGGGGGGGGTTGGCAGAGCATCCCCTTTGGCAGGCATCAGAGCTTCTGCCCCTCTGGCACCTCCAATGGGGCTGCCCAACCCTTGGGGGAGGAAGGGGCCTTTCAGGCTGGCTTGGGGGGAGCCCAAGGATGGGGGGAGCCATGCAGGCACGCCCGTGTCCGGCCCCCCCCCCGTCGCCATGCAAGCGGGGTCCCCTGAGTCCCGAGCGAGGCCAGGGAAGAAGGCAGAGAGTGAGGTTGGCTGCCACACTGCTGGGGGAGGAGGAGTGGGGTGGGGGCTCACAACACTCACAGCCGACTTGGCCTGGGACCAGGCGCCCCCCTGGAGCAGAGTGCGGACAAAGTCCGGCTGGTAGTCGCCGTAGATGTGGGCAAACCGCAGGGTCTCCTTCGTGTTGGCCACGGCGAAGGCCAGGAAGGCCTCGTAGCCCTCCACGTACTTCTCCCCCTTGCCCGTGGCCAGGACCACGCAGTACCTGCATCGGCACAGGGTGGCACCACACAGAAGCATGAGGACTAGCTCCGTGGCAGGAGACGCCCCGCCTGTCCCCCCCCCCCGCACCCTCCCCCCCAGGGCTCTGGGCTCCACTTTGCCAGCCACCCAGGTTTACTCACACTTGGAGGTCCTGGACTCCAGAGCCCATCTGCCTGGAACCAGCCACCTCGAAGCTGGAAGCCCCCCACCCCTCCCCGCAAAGATTCTGGGAGTTTCACCCCCCTCCCCCCTTGGAGGAGATGGAGTCGGAGTGCGTGTGCGTGCGCGTTGGGGTGGGGGGGCTCACTTGTGCTGCCGGTGGGATTTTTTCACAGGGCACAATTCCTGGAAGAGCTTCTGGCTGGTCAGGCGGGAGGCCAGGAGGAATTTGTTCTGGGACAGGAAGTCATCGATCAGCTGCTTCCTCATGTGCCGGGCCTGTGGGAGGAGAGGCAGTAATACCCCCTTTGGAAGTAAGGCCAGGCCGCAAGCCCCCCACCCCAAAGAGCCCCAAAGGCTCGGCCTGCGCTGCGCTGGGGGTCCCGGGGGGCCCACCTGGATGACGTCGGCCGGCTTCTCCACCTGCTCCTTGAAGACCATCATGGTGGGCGTGTAGACGTTGATGTTGTATTGCCGGGAAAGCCCCTCGGTGCCCTGGAGCCCCACGTACACGTAGCCGAAGGAGAGGTAGTCTCTGTACGCAAAGGCCGCGAGCTGGAAGGGAACCCTGGGAGTCAGGAGCCCCGGCAGACCCCTCCTCAGGGCATCCCACCCCCGGCCACCGAAGGAGGGGAGGGGGAGCTGTGGTCAGGGTCACCAGGCGGTGGATGATGGGCCTTTTAAATCCCCACACTCCGTGCTTCCTCCCCGCCCCCCCCCCCCGACTCCTGAGCACCCTCTTTGTTGCCCCTGCAGCCCCCCATGGCTTCCCTGGGTCCCTCCCCCTGCCCCCCAAAGGGGATCTCCTCCAAGGCCCGGGCTCCCCCCGCCCCGCAAGGGCTGGGGTTTCAGAGACCGACCTTGTAGAGGAGGGGCGCCAGGGGCATGTGGTCGAAGAGCAGGACGTGAGGCTTGTTTTCCTTCTTCCAGTTGGACAGGAACCGGACGTAGTTCTTGTCTGTAATCTGCCAGTTGGGGGGGGGGGGGAGGGGGCGGCCACCCCCCCCCCCCCCCCACCCCCCCCCCCCGCCAGCCGAAAGGGGCCCACGGATACTGATGCGGCCCCGTGCATTGGTCAAAGGCGTTTCCCAGCTGCCTTGCCCAGGTGAGTGAACCCTTGGAAGAGACTTAGGCCCAATCTCTCCCTGAGCAGGCTCTGCAGCTGAGGGCGGCCCACCCCGCCCCCTCAGGCCCTCCCCCTTGGAAACTGAGTGTGGGGGGGGGGTCTGTGGGGAGGGGGCCGCTGCTGACCTTCTCCACCAGGGCCCCAGGGAGCAGGCTCTCCACAAACTGACGGAGGTTCTCCCGGACGACCGCGTTGTGGAAGAAGGTGACCTTCCCGTTGATCAGGCCCAGGATGGAGGGGGTGCTGTGTGCTCCCAGGTGCTGGGCCAGGCGCCGCTCGTAGCCCGCATGGATGACGCCGATCCCCACGCCTGGCAGGGGAAGGACGGAGCCCTCAACATGGAAGCCAGCCAACCCAGGGCCTCTCTGCCCAGAAGGAGCTGAAGCCTCGTTCCGGACAGGCTAACCTCAGGCCACCTCTGACCCTGGCCCAGAGCAGCCGTAGCAGATGCCATCCCGAAAGGCAACGCCCGGCCTCGGCCTCTCAGGGTGAGCAGTGTCACCTCACCCAGGCCCCCAAGAGCCTCGGGGCTGATGCTGCTGCTGCTGCTGCCCGGCCCCGCCCGGATGGAAACACCCTCCCCCCCCACCCAACACGCTCTCCCTCGCTGCCTCTCTCTGCCTTGGGCTCACCCAGCGCCTCCAGCTCCTGCACCACCTCCTTCCAGACAGGCTCGATGTGGATGCAGCTGAAGCACCAGTCGGAGGTGATCTTGATCAGGTAAGGCTTCCGGAAGCTCTCGGGAACCACCTCGTTGACGTAGTGGGAGAAATGCAGCAGGTACTTCTCGTCGGTGGAGTCCTGGTGGCGCTCCGAGTTGAAGGGGAAGTGGAAGAAGGACTCGTCAAAGTAGAAGCTCTCGTGGAAGGGGTGCGCATGGCGGTGCGGCGCCTGTTGCTGCTGGTGCGGGAAGCCCTGGTTCTCGCCCACATCGCCATAGCGGTCAAAATTCAACCGTTTCTCCTCGTTGGACAGGATCTGCGTGGGAAGACCCGGGCTCTCATCCCCTCTTCTTCTTCCAACTGGCCTTCCCCCTCCACACACACACACACCCCGCAGCTGTCCCTCTCACACGTCTGCAGACTTGGACCCACAAAGTCCGACCTCCATACCTCGTAGGCTTTGCTGATTTGTATAAACTTGTCTTCCGCTCCTGGGTCTCTATTCTTGTCCGGATGCCTGGAAGGTCGATGAAAAAAGATCAGCAGCAGCTTGAGAACTGACAGCTTTACAAAGTTATGCACGGTGGGCGGAGAGCTCTACTCTTAACCTGGCCATCTTTAGTTCACCCTCATTTCGTCATAGTTAGGTAACTTTGACTTTGTTTTTAATTTCAAGAGCCCTGGTGGCACCGTTAGAATATGCAGTATTGGGTTGACTCCGCCTTCCATCCTGCGGAGGTCGGTAAAAGGAGGATTCAGCTGGTTGGGGAGGGGGCAATATGCAGCTTAGAGAGGGCTGTAAAAGCACCATGAAGCACTATATATGGCCAAACACTATTGCTTTTGCCAATTTATTGCTCGTATATCATTTCAAGAAGACGCAGCTAGCAATCTAAAAATGTGTCAAACACAGCAGATGGACAATAAAAGAAAAAAGAAAAAAAAAAGAGCTACAAGAACCCACTGGCATTTAATGAACCGCTAAGCATCCCAATGTGCTTTTAACGGCTCACCCATTTCCCCATGACTGGCAGTTGGTCAGAGCCAAAGCACTGAAAACCCCAATTCGTCAGGCGAGTATTGGATAACAATCACTTTAGTTCTCTTCAGAATCAGATGACTCTGAATTTGATGTACTCACCATTCCCGGGCGAGTCTCTTGTAGGCTTTTTTAATATCCGCCTGGCTCGCAGTCCTGCTGACGCCCAGGATCCGATACGGGTCAAAATCGACGGCTGACAAGATCTGCAAGGCCAGGACGAGGAAGAGGACCAGCACCAGGGAGAGGCTGAGCCGTTTAATCTCCATCTCCGTTCCTGCAGGGAACCCGGCCGGGAGCCTTCCTGGGGACAAGGAGAGAGGTCAGGGCCTGCGGGGGGCCTCCCACATCAACCACGCACCCCGTCATAACCTGGAAAGCAAAGCATTTCTGACCCTCTCGCTTATCTGGAGACGGCTTAATTCCTGCAGCTAAAAAGTATTGCCAACCTTCTCAAGTTCTTTATAATAACCTCAAAACAATGCTGATATTTCACAGCACAAGACAGACGGAGCCATCCAGGGGAGCAGCGCAAAGCGGATACTTTTTGTGCAGGGTGAGATGTCACCAAGGCAGCAGGCGCTAGTGGAACGTTCAGAAAAAGATTCCTTGAATAAAAATTCACACCCAGCCCCGAAACTTCCAGGTTCGGCTGAGGAAATCCGCCCTCGCAGCACCTCAGGGCTGTTTTTCACACAGGACGCCAAACCGGACAGACGAGGCGCCTTGATCCAGACGTCCAGCTTCTGTTGCTCGTCGGCAGCTGGACGGGCTGCAGGCCAGGGAAGGAGGCCGCAGGAGGCTCCTCGGACGTCTCGGCCCCCCCCCCGGGGTCGCCGGCAGAAGGAGGAGAGACGGTCCAGGGCTCTGCTGGGAGGGGTCTCCGTGCCCTCCGCAGGCTGAGGCTTGCCGGGTCTCCTGCCTCCGCCCAGGGAGGGTCTTCCGGGGCTGCTCCTGCCTCCAGGGGTCCAGGGCTGTTTTGTGGCCTCCATCAGAGCTTTTTTTGGGGGGGCAGCCAGGGACCCTCAACTTTCTTCCTCCCTCCTGGGGGGGGGGGCTAGGATGCCCTGGGGGCCCTTGACGCGCATGCGCAAGGCCTGCCCTCTCGCTCCCGCCCCCCCCCTCCCCCCCCCCCCCCCCCCCCCCCCCCCCCCCCCCGTCCCTTCCCAGGAGGGCCCGATCCTGGGCGGCTCCTTCCCCAACCTGGCGCTGAGGGGCTTCCGCTCCTTCAGATTCCCGCCAAGAGGAGGGGGCCCGACCCACCCACCGCCGCCAAGGCTTCCCAGGCCCGGCCCTCCCGCCCCCGTTGAGTGGCCCCTGATGGGCGAGGGGCTACGGCGTCCCCCTCCTCCCCCTGGCCGGGCGACCACGAGATGCCCCACTCGGGGGAAACGGGGGTCGAAGGGCGCGCGCAATACCCACCGAGGGCTCCTCTTGTCTCCCCGGTCCCCACTTCCGGCTCGGCGGCCTCGTCACCATAGAGACGGCGCAGACGGCGCTAACTTCCGGCGTGGGGTTCGACCCGCCTCCCCGCACGGACCCTTGCGGGGGGGAGGACGGGCAGAAGCGCGCGCATGCGCAGCAGCGCCGTTCGCCCCCCCCTTCCCTCGGCGGGCCGCCATGGAGGAGACGGACCGGCGGCGGCTGCTTTGCTTCCGGGTGCGGCTGTTGACGGAGCTGCGTCTGGAGTCGCTGTGGGCGCCGCTGCTGCGCCGGGACATCTTCACCGCGGACATGATCGAGGAGATCCAGGTACCGCGCGGCCCATGGGGCGCGGCCAGGGGTGTGAGGTGGCCCCCTCCCCCAGGCGCCTTTGGGTCCCCGGAGGGTCCTGCTGCCCGGCCGGCCTCTCCGGGCGGGGCTGATATGCGAGGGGGGGCGGGATCCCCGTGTGGCCATCTATTCGTGTCCCTTCTCTCTCTGCGCCCGCGCAGGCGGCGGGGACGCGGCGGGACCAGGCGAGGCAGCTGCTGAGCGACCTGGAGACGCGGGGCCGGAGGGCCATGGGGGACTTCGTGCTCTGCCTGCGGGAGAGCGGCCAGGAGGCGCTGGCGGAGCTGCTGAGCGACGGACGCCCCCCGGAGGGACCCCCGGACCAGTCCCCGAGGCACTCGGAGGTCCATCATCCCCTGCCCGAGAAGCCCCCCTCCGCCCACCCCGTCCTGCCGGGTAAGTGGGGCATGTCGCCCCCCCAACACCCCCTCCATCCTCCACCCCCCCACCCCCCCACAGCAGCAGTGGGGGGAGTCTGCGGTTGTTTGGGGGCAGCATCACCCGTCGCAGGTGGTCCTCGGCTTACGACCATTGGTTTAGTGGCCGTTCAGATTGGTTGTCGCTACACGACACACACGCACACACACACTGAGCACCTTTAACCTGTGTGGGAGGGAGGAACAGGAAGAAGGGAGCTGTTCTCACCTCTCAGCCAGGGAGCCAGCCAGAGTCCCGCTGGCCTTGGCTTCAAGGTGCGGCTTGGCTCAACGCTTAAGTTGCTGCACTTCGGCGGGGGCTGATCCTTTCCCCTTCTCCCTCGTCTTGTAGGCCCCGTGGAAGAGCAGCCCCAAAGGGATTCTGAAATGGTGAGTTTGCTCCTTTCCTAGGACACAGGGTCAAGGTTTCCTTCTCTCCAGCCTTCCCAGGTGCTGAGTCCTGAGCCCTGGTGCCCACATAAAGCTCCCCCCCTCCCCCGCAGTGGGGGCTGCCTCTGGAACTTCAGCAGGCGGGATGGAAGGCCTGCAACTCCAGCGCTTTGCTGCTCTTCAAATGAGCGTTGAGCCGTTTCCTCCCCTGTAAAGGAGACTTTGGTTTTTCTGCCATCCTTCTCACAGGGATTTCTGGATTTTTATTTTTTTGCTTAATTGTTGAAATCGGGTTCTATCTCCCTGGCTGCCCTCACTTCCCCATGTGAAAAACTCACAAGGAATTTCTTGTCTCCTCTTGAGAAAACCCTACCCAGAGTCGCCTTGTAGGGAAGGCGGGCAGCGTAAAATCTCCAGCGAAAGTTTTATCCAAGATTTTATCCTCCAGTCAGAGGCCGCACTGGGCTAAGGGCAGCTCGAGGTCGCTTTGCAGTGGTGCCAAGCTGGAGTAACTCTCTGATGCGTCCTGACAGGTTTACCCCCTGAATTCTGAGCCCTGCGGCTACTGTCTCATCATCAACAATGTCCATTTTCACAAAGACACGGATTTGAAACATCGCCTGGGCTCCAACATCGATCGCCAGAGGCTGGAAAAGAGGTTCCGGGCACTTCATTTCGAGGTCTTGACCAAGGAAGACCTTACAGCTCAGGTGAGCATCTAAGTTGGGGCTTGGAGGGAGCCTTGCAGAGAGAGGAAAATCATACTACAGAACTTGTCTGGGTCCAGGTGGTCATCTAGCCTCACCCCTGGTTGCGCACAAGGACCCACACTTCAGAATATGGCTGTAGTAGTCTGGGCATCGTGCAGGGTCATCTCCAAGCTGACCTCATCCAGCGCTCCTTCAGAGGCAATTTATTTTTAATTTGTGACTTGAGGTTTCTGTACAGAAAAAACAAACTGTTTAAGAATAAGAACCAGAAAAGGGTTTTGAAAAACAGATGAAGTTAAAAGCTGTATTTCTAGAATAGCAATGAGGACGTTGTTTATAAATAAACATAAAAAGTAGCATATAAATAAGTAATAAAATGGATCAGGAGCGTCTGTCCTGCCGGTGGCTGCCTAGTTGAGACCCTCCCCTCTCAACTGCTGTCAAATTCCTGTCTCAAAGGGGAAAATATCTCCCCCTCCTCAAGATCTGGATTCAGCTTTGGAAACAGTTGTAGGGCAACTGTTCCTCTTCCTTGTTTCCACTGCTTGTCAGAAAGAGGCCGAAAGGAAATGGGTCTTGCTGGGCATCCTCAGTGCCTCTCTCTCTCCCTGCCCCACAAAAAGTTTGTTGTCCCAGCCCCTCAAGTTTAGAGCTTGCCTGAGAGAGAGGTCCGACGTTTGGCTCAACCTGCCTTCTCTGGGAACACCCTCAGGAAATCGCCAAGGAGCTGCAGGGCCTGTCCAGGCGTGATCACAGCGGCCTGGACTGCTGCGTGGTGGTCATCCTCTCCCACGGCTGCAAGGTAGGCGTGTGCCCAGTGTGCGCTTGGTGCAGGAATGGTGGCGTGCGGGAGAGTGGATGCTTTCCCTAGAACATGACATCGACTCAACATCCCACCCAGGGACCAGCGTTGAATCCATCTGGGGCAGCCGCGAGGGGGGCAGGCCTGAGGAGGCCGGGGCTTTCATCCTTGAGGAGGCAGCTGCTGCTTTTCTCAAGAGTCAAGCCTTGCTGTCCTCCGAATAAATGTGTAGTTTGCTGCTGCCTAGAAACCAGTTGGGCTCCTTGTAAGGCACACGCCCCTCTTTTTGCAGCAGCCGTTAAGGGAACATGGTTGTAAAAACAAGGCCACCTGGGGTCATGAACCCAACCCAATGGCAAAGCCACCGTAGACGCAGCCGTGGATGGTGGAGGGGCCCGACCCCTGGGACCGGGCCGTAACTCCCCCTTTCAGGCTAGGTTGTAACTCTGCCCTGTCTAAGCGACCTGCCCCCCGAGAGGTTCCCTTCCCTGGGGGTCTTCGCTCCCAAGAGTCACCTGGCCTCTTCCAGAGCTACCACATCCAGATTCCGGGCGCCATCTTTGGGACGGACGGGCAGCGCATCCCGGTGCAGAAGGTGGTCAGCTATTTCAACGGCTCCCACTGCCCGAGTCTGAGGGGGAAGCCGAAATTGTTCTTCATCCAGGCCTGCGGAGGAGGTGAGGGGGGGGGGCGAGGTTTCTCCTGCAGAAACGCGGTGACCTTTGATTTCCAGAGGGAGGGGCCACGGGGCCCAAACTATCACCTGGGAAAACAAACCTCTTTGCCTCCTCAGAGGAGAAAGACGAAGGCTTTGAAATGGAGGCAGACACACCGCCAGGCCGGCGTGAAGGAGGAAAGGCTGTGGAGTCGGACGCCACCCCGATGCCGGGGCCAGGAGGAGATTCTGATGAACTCGATGCCACGGCTAGTCTGCCCACGGACAGCGACATCTTGGTTTGCTATTCCACCTCTCCAGGTAAGGGGAAACACTCGGCAGTCACCAGGGGAGGCCCCCTCCTGTGCCACGGATGGGCACCACTTCACCTTCCATGGTCACCTTTCCACTGTGAGGACAGGCGAGTTCTGACGTGGGGCACTTGTGTCCCAAAGGCTACGTCTCCTGGCGGGACACCCAAAGCGGCTCCTGGTTCATCGAGGCGCTGGATCACGTCTTGGCCGAATATGCCCACCGGGAGGATCTGCCCAGCATCCTCATGAAGGTACCTTTGCCCCCCCCCCCACCACCACCCTTGCCAGCCCTCTGGGCCTCCAGGAAACCCAGCAGCTTCTTTTCCCCGGCCCAAACTGGGGGGTAGGGAGCGTGCAATGCCTCCCTTGTCCTAAAGCCAACAATTCTGGCTTGCCCGGGGGGCGGGGGGGGGGGCGGGTTCCATCCCCGGCGAGAGGGGGGCCCGGGTAGCCCTCTGCGGGCCCCCATTTCTCACCCCCCCCCCCTTTGTTTCTCCAGATGGCGAACATCGTCGCTGCCAAAGTTGCGGGGTCTTACAAGCAAATGCCCGGTCACTTCAACATGCTTCGGAAAAAGTTTTTCTTCAGGGTCTAACGAACTTTTTGCTGGTTCTTCACCGTTCCTGGGACTTGAGACACAGACACACAAGGACTTTGTCTTGGTGCATATGCTTTTCACGTACACTGAGACCATTTGCACCAAGACAAAGTCCTTGTGTGTTTAATCACACTTGGGCAATAAAAAATTCATTCATTTCTGGAGATGTGTTTTTGGTGGGTGTTTTTTTGACGCTTAAGGCCCCATTTTGCCACCTGGTACGAACAATCTGGTGCCTTTCCAGTGTTGTGTTCCATGGAGAAGACCCCACCAGCAGGCAGAGAACCCAAATATCCCCGTCCCCTCCCCTATCGGCCAGCCTTTGGAGTTGCATGGAAACCTCATCTTCATTGAGCTCTAATGGAACCGATGGGAACCAGGTTTCTACTGTTTACATTTCTCTTCTTCCTCCTTTTAAGAAATCAAGATAATTATAATGAGAAGGTGGTCCTAGAAATTGTTTTTGAGCCACAAGCGTTCATCTTTAAAAAAAAAAAACCTTTAAGAGATAACACGGTGTCTTAAATTGTTTAATTATTCAAGGGAAAAGCACAGTGTCTCATAATCTTTTTACATCATTAAATATTTAAATTCCTGAGCTCCGTATCCGTTTCTTATTTCATCTGTTCTTGGCAGCTTTCGTTCATCAAGGCCGAATCCCCCCAGAAGCAGCAGGAACTTCCAGGGTCTCCCTTGGCAACAATACCCAACCCAGCCACTGGAGGCAGCACCCACTGATAAACAACGCATGATGCTATTTTCTTTGTGACACTTAGTACCTCATTCAGCCACCAGGGGGCATTGGTCTTTGGTCATATGCCCTAACTTTATGTGCCCAGTACTCAATTCAGGGGGGGGGGGGTCGCACCACCCACAGTTCAACACTGACCTACATTCTCTTCTATTGATTCCAATCTCAGTTGTGGTCATAAATTGAGGACTGCCTGTATTCCCAGACATAACGGTGAGGGGTCCTGGGGTCTGGGGGAGGGGGCAGGAGAAGTTATAAACTGGCCCATAAACGGCACTGGGAAAAAGGGGACTTGGGAGCGTTTCTCACACGAACCGTGGCCGCCTCCCTGTGGTCACGTGATCCAAATTCTGACGCCTGGCGACTAACTCAGTTATGACGGCCGCAGTGTCCCGAGGTCACGTGATCCCCTTTTGCAGCTTGCAATGGGGGAAGCCAGATTCATTTAACAGCTGTGTGAGTAGCTTAACGACTGCAGTGGTTCGCTTAACGATGGTGGCGAGGGAGGTGATAAAAAGGGGCAAAACTCTCTCAACCGATATCTCGGCAACATGTATGTTGGGCTCTGCTGTGGTCTTAAGGGGAGGCCCCCCCCCCCCCCCAACCTCCTCCTCCTCTAGGGTTTGGCTGAGCGGGGAGGAGGAGGTGGTGGGGGGGGGGGGGGAATTGTGCGGCTTCAGTTGTGGTGAACAGGAGAGGCAAAGCCACAGGCAGGCAGAGCTGGAGGTGAATGAATGGACGGGAGGGGTTTGAAGAAGCCCCGGGCTTTGGGGGGCTTTGGGGGGCAGGAAACGCTACAGACACGGCCCTTCGGGGTGATAAAAGGTTTTATTGAGTATTTATTTCTCGGTATCGGTTGGCCAGGAGGCTCAGCCACAGCTCCTCAGTTCTGAGTCATCTTCTACGGGAGGGAAAAGATAAAAGCGAAGGGACTTGTGTTCACAGCGGAAAAGGACGCAGCCGCTCAGCAGGGGCTTTATTTCCTGGACAAATCCTGATAGGCGCTGCAGCATCTGCCCCCCCCCCCCCCCCCCCCCCCCCCCCCCCCCGCAACCCCACCTGACACCTTTCCAGCATAAACCAGGCCCCAATTCTCCCCCCCCCTCCCGCCCCCCAGGGGAAGCAGACCTGCATGGTGTCCCCTTGGGGTGAGCAACGTTAGCAGCAGCCGTAGCCAGACGACCCCTTTGGCAGGAGACGCCTGGCTCTTTGGGGCCTGCACTCTGCACATGCTCCAGCCCCAGAAGGGTCAGAGCCGAGCCTATTACGGAGGACGCTTCGTGACCTCATGGCCATAGAATCTGGGTTTCCCCGATTGTCGCAAAGGACGTCAGCCCAATGCTCTGGAGGGGGGGGGGCTCGGAGTCCGTGGGGAAAGCCCCCTCACCTTGGTGATCCAGTCGATGTAGGTGGAGACCTGGGTGAAGACGGTGGGCTTCTTGGCCGTGTTGCAGCCGAGGGCAGACCCAAAGCTAACGATGCCGTGCACTTGCCAGGAGCCGCCAGTGAGGCAGTTCAAGGGCCCACCGGAGTCGCCCTGAGGACAAAGGAGGGCAGGCCGGCTGCAGGGACGGGAGCGGGGCGACCCACCCCCCACCCCGCGAGGCTGCGCCTATATGTCCCCCGTCCTCTTAAGCACTGAGGGTGCGACACCGGATTGCGCTGGGTTGGATCCCAGCTTCCTGCCAATCCAGCCACGAAGCTCCGCAGGTCCACGCAGGACTAGAACCCAGGCGGCTGTGGCTGGTCATGAGTTATGTTAGCCACTTAACTCCTTGGGCCGCGCCCCACCCCCCGGGCTTCCCCCCCCCCCCCCCCCCCCGTCATACAGGGGAAGCCAACCTACATTGCACCCCGAAATGACGCCGTCTCCCCCCGCGCAGACCATGCTGGGCTTGACCATGGAGCCCCACCAGTCCTTCTGGGTGCAGGTGGCGTGGTCCACCACGGGCAGCAAGCCCTGCTGAAGGGTGTCCGCGATGGGCCCGTTGGCTGCAAGGGAGGGAGAGGCTCAGAGGGGAGTTAGGAGCCCAGGACGGCAACCCTCGGGGCTACCCCTCCCCGCTCTGGGGGGCAGCTGCGGACTCACTCCAGAGACGGCCCCAGCCGGTGACATAGCAGGGGAAGCCCTGGGGCAGCAGAAGGTCTGGGGCGGGCAGGCAGGAGGGCTGGATGGTGTCGCTGAACTCGACCGGCTGCGCCAGCTTCAGCAGGGCGATGTCGTTGCTGCAAGAGGGACGGCAGGAGGGGCGGCGTTGGGGGGGGGGGGGCCCCCGGGAAGGCGGGGGTCCCCCCCCCAGCCCTCCAGAGAGACTCACATGATGAAGAGGGAGTTCCACTTCTCGTGGACGATGGCCTTCTCCACCGCCACGGCCACCTCGCCGGCCTCAGCCACCCTCAGGTTCTGCTTGCCCAGCAGGACTCGGTAGGTCCGCTTGGAACTGGGGGGGGCAGAGGAAGGGGGAGGGAGTGGGGGGGTCAAGAGTCCCTCCTCCCCCCCCAAAAAAAAACACCCGAGGGGGGGCAGTTTCTTCAGTGCCCTTCAAAAGACAGGGGAGCTTTGGTTCGCTTGCTTCATCCGAGGAGGAGAAAAGCCTTTTTCTCCCCAATTCTGCCCCCCTTCCAGGTCCCCTTGGAGGGGCGCAGGGGGTACCTGATGCAGTGAGCTGCCGTCAGCACCCAGTTGGGGTCAATAAGGGTCCCGCCGCATGTGTGAGCCCAAACTCCTTTCTTGTCATACTGGAGGGAGACCTGAAAGCAAAATTGGGCCAATGGTTACGTTCAAAAAACCCCAAAATTTCACGTCCCTCCAACCTGGATTTTGCCCCTGGAGAGAGAGGCGAGAACCCCCCCCCTTCACCGAGAGCTCCTCTCCCCGTCCAGTGGCAGGGAGTCCCCCAGGGGCCTGCAATTCCACCTTGTTGGTTCTGCCGTTCCAGACTGCGGCAAGCGAGGACCCCCAAGCCCCTTACCTGCCAGGGCCAGCTATGGGGCCGGACATCTTCGCCTCCAACCACACGCGAAATGTTGGGCACATAGGTGGGGTGGCCACAGCCCCAGGCTGAGGAGAGCAGAGGAAGAAAAGGAGGCCTCTCAGCGATCCATGTCACTAGCACAAGAGCCCTCTGGACAGCTGCCGCCTTCTAGAGCCTGCCCCCCACCCACAGGGGAAACCTTCCCAGGGGGAGAAAGGGCTCTTCCTCGGGGGGGGGGGGGCAGGGCTGGGGCCCCTCCCCGCAACCACTTACTGTCAGCCACGAGCAGGAGGGCACAGAGCAGCTGGAACATGGTGGCGGCCGCTGAGGTGGGCTTTGGGAAGCACCTCTCCGTATTTATAGCCGGCTCAGCCAACCGGGTGCCATCGCCAGGTGCCTCTGACCTTGCCAGGCGATCGCTGGGTCGATAGAGGAGGAGGGCGGCCCCTTGGCAGCCAGGCGGTCATCCTCCGCTCACCGGGGGAGGGTCCCTGCAGCCCTCACGACGGGTGGAGGCCTTTGGGGCGCCTGGGAGGGAGAGAGCAGCTCTTCCTGCACGCCCCCCCCCCTCCCCAGCTGCTGGAGCTGCCCAGGGAAAGCCAACCCAGCCTTCGGCTGCAGCCCCTGTCCTGGGGGGCCAGGCTGGGGCCAGCTCCTCGGGGGCCCCAAGGGCAGCCCCTGGCCTCGCTGGGTACGGCGGCCCTGACCCAGCCCCGGAGGCCTCCAGGCATGGGAGAAGCAGCAGCTGCCTCATCCAGCCTGGCACAGCTGGTGGAAACTTCCCCCTGGCAGGCCCTTCCTCACCTGTCCGCTTCCCACGGGGGAAAGAGGAGCCGTTGGGAAGAGGTGGCCAGCCCCCCCCCCCCCCCCCCCCCCCCCCCCCAGTCCCCATGCGCCCCGGGGACGCCCGGGGGCGGGGGGGGCCCCCCCCCCCCCCCCCCCCCCGCTCCCCCGTGGCTTGTGGGATAAACCACCATCCAACCTCCCTAGTGCCCAGCCAGAAGAATCTCACAAGCCAACGTCTCTGTAGCCCCCTGGGAATATTTGGGTGGGGGGTTTGATTCACACCCCCTCAGCAAGACATTGAAGCACAAAAGGTGTCCCAAGTTTGGCCTCGGCTCCTGTCATGGGTGGACACGGCCAGCCTGGGTGCCCAGGAGTGGCCGCCATCCCGAGGAGGCTAGGCGATGCCAGCTGGCCTCCATTTGGGGTGGGGTCTGTATCCGACTGCCCGCCCCAGCCCCCTCCTCTGCAGCAGACCGGAGAGGTTGCTCGAGTCAGTAAGCCCAGCCACAGGAACAGCGCAGAGGCATCAACCGCACTTCCTGGTTGAGTGCCTCCCGCCCCACCACCACCACAAGACAGAGAATCCGGATACCACAATGAGCTTATGAAATATAGTGTTGTTTTAATTATATTTGGGTAAAAAAAAAATATACCATACCACTGAAACAGAGCAGTTTGTGAGCCCAGAAAGGCCACCCCTCATCCGCAAGTGTTGTGGCAGCCGAGGAGTCCCAGGGCAGGCTGCGCGCAAACCCTCCCGCGGCCCCAGGAAGCAGCCAGCCAGCCCTCAGGGGCCCTCGGGGCTCCTTTAGCCCCCAAAACACAAATCCAGCACAAAAGCAAGCAAGCAGGCAGGCACGGAGAATGAGGGTCTGGGGGATGGGGTGGAAAGACCCCCCCTGGGGGAATGAACCCCCAATAACAGCTGGACCTGAGCCAGATCTGCCTGAATTGTGGCTTGTTGAACAAGCCAGAATCAGAGTGGTTCACACCTCACACCGACTTCTTAACCATAGTCTGGCTCACACACTGCTATAAAGCCCCGTTTCAGTGGGTTGTGTCCTTTTTTTGCCATCCATGGCTGCCCCTAAGGGGACCCAGCTAGGAAAGAGACCCCCTTGTGGGCAAGTAGACCCCCTGGAGGGCAGCTGCTTCTACGCTCGGGGCATCTGGGGCAGTGGAAAAGGAGCTGGGTCCCCAACTGCCCCCCCCCTCGGGAATGTCTTCCTCGGCTGGGGGTTGCATTAGATGACCTCTAGGTGCCCCTCCCACTTGGGGGATTTTGACACAGTCCCAGCCCTCCCCGACCGGTGGAGCTCCCGGGGCTGGAGGGTTCAACACTCCACATCTGGGGCCCCACCTGCCCCAAATCTCTCTACTTCCAGCTCCTCCCCTCTTCTGTTCTTGCCACCCGAACATTTCTACACAACACAATTCCAGGACTTGGGGCTTATTGTCTGGACACACACACATAGAAACACACACACACACACAAAGTACAAATTGACCCTGTCCCGCAGACTCAGTGCCAGACTCCAGCTCCCATCGTCCCCTGCCTGCCGGAGAACAGCTGGGGGGACCCCCTAAACCTTCGGCTGAGTCTAAGCTCCAAACCCAAGGTGGGAAAGGAGAGTGACGGGGGGCCCCTCAGGGAAAGCGCTTTAAACGGCTCCCTCAAAGCACCCCCACCTGCCGGGCCCACCTCCTGCCCACTCGGCCGCCCCCCCCCCCGGCAGCTGCAGCCCCAGGACCCCTCTGGGCCCAAGCACAAAGGTATACAGCCCAGGCGACGCACACAAAGACGCACACAAAGACGGCAGTGCTGCACAAGCGGCGGGCGGGGGGGGGGGGGGGAAGGGGCCCCCCCCCGCCTCTAAGAGCAAGCACATCCATGCAGCCCCGGGGGGAGGACGGAACGATTCACACGCCGCAAATCTGGGACCGGGAGACACCGAGAACCACGAGACCGACAGACGGGAGACCAAAACGCCGCGAAGGAAACACCGAACAGCTGGCTCAGGGGAGGGGGTGCAAATCAGGTTCAAATGGGTCTGGGGGCTCCAAGGTCCGCCTTCTCCCCATGGCAGTTCGCCCACCAACCGCGCTGGGTCGCCAGCTGACCGGGGCCCCCCCTCTAGCGGCCACCTGACCCGCACACACCAGCCGGGGGTCCTTGCAGGGAGGGGGGCAGATGGGCGTGGTGGGGGGGGCCGGGCTGGGGGGGGCAGCTACTGCCTGAAGGTGGACTGCAGCTCCTTGAAGGCCTCCTTCCGCTGCTTCAGCTCCTCCGCCTGGCGCCGCTTCTCCTCCTGCTCCGCCTTGATCTCCTCCTCGAAGCGGCTGCCCACGTTCATCGCCTGCACCTGCGGGGACAGGCGGCCGAGGAAGGGGGGGGGGTCTGGGTTCATCTATGTTCAGCCCCCCCCCTTTATTGCTTTCATCCGTGACTCAAGGGGGCGACCCTCCCCCTCCCTCCCTCCCCCTGCTTTCCCCACCACAACGTCCCTGCGAGGTGGGCCCAGAAAGTTTCCAGGCTTGACTGCGCAAGAGAACCTGCCCCCTCCCCCACCGCCCCCCCCCCCCCCCCCCGCCGCCCCCCCCCCTCCCTGCTTACTTTGGCCTCGAAGAAGCTCTTGGCCCCCTTGACGCCCTGGGTGGAGACGTCGATCTCCGAGAGGCAGGCCAGGGCGTGCAGGCCGCTGTCTTCCTCCAGCTCCCCAGCAGCCGCTTTGCGGAAGATGAGGAGAAACTGCCGGGGGGGGGGGGGGGGGGGGGGAGGGTTGGGAAAGGCCCGGGGGCTTTCCCCCGCGCCCCCCCCCCCCCGGGCCCCGGGGGGGGGGGGGGGGGGGGGACACACGGCACCCTCACCTCCCGGAAGCTGAGCTTGCTGTCCACGTCTTCGTCCACTTCCTTGATCATGTCCTTCAGGCCCAGGTGTGTCTGGGGAGCCCCCAGTTTCTCCATCATCAGTTTCAGCTCCATCAGGTCGATGAAGCCATCTTTGCCCGCGTCGTACCTGGGCATGGGATCCGGAGCAAAGAGCCCGTTAGCCCACTCCCCCCCCCGCCCTCACCCGCTTCCTCGCCCAGCTCCTCCCCCCAGGGAGATCCCTTGGGTGGGTTTCCCCCCCCCCCCCCCTTTATTTCTGGATATAGGATGCGGGCCTCGTTCACCCTGCTGCTTGGTGCCATTTGGGCCCAAAGGAGGGCAGGGAAGGAGGCTGGGTGGCTTTTCCTCCCCAAGAACCGCCCGGCTGACACCCAACTGGTTCAGGAGCCCACAGCTGGCAGGCGTGAGGCTGGCAGAAGACATTCCTGCACGCCCCTCGCCCCCTTCTCCTGGCAGGACTTCCTTCAGGAAGGGCAGCCTGGCCTCTGCCAGGCTAAACAAGCGATTCTCTGGCTGGACTGCTCTGCTGGCCGGCCGAGGGCTCTAGGCTGGGGAGGGGGGCAGGGGGGCATGGTCAGCCGTTTGCTTCCTGCCCCAAAGGAGCAGAGCTGCAGAAGATGCCCACGGGCGCAGCCACAAGGGAGAGAAGGCAACCTGAGACACACACACACACACACACACACCCCGATGCTCTCTGGGCTCGGTGGTTTCCTTGCAGGTGTTACCTGGCCCAAACTAGGCAACGTTGCCCCTGGCACTGATGGGGTTACAAAACGTCTGCAAGGAAACCTCCAAGCTCAGAGAGCACCAAGGAGCCCCCCATTCAGCCCTGGGCTACAAGGACTGCCCTTTATCCAAAGGCCTACCGCGGGGTGGGAGACAGGAAATAAAAGGAAGGAAGGAAGGAAGGAAGGAAGGAAACAATCTACAGATTATTACAGCTCAGCAATGTTGGCTGGGCTTCCCTTCTGCTCCCCCATCACCTGTGCACTGGGGCCTGTCCAGGTGGGATCTGGCGCCATTTAGTTCAGAACTGGGCAGGCATGTCACTGGTCAGATCCAGGGTCCCAGGAACAGGTCAGGGGGTGGGCTAGGAAGATGCCCCTAAAGAATCCAGAGGGGCTTCGGGGGTCCCAGGTGATCTGGGAGGGAGGGCTTTTCAGCCACCGGGAAGCCAGGAAAGGGGAGGGGGGCTGCTGACCAGGCACAGCTCTGCTCTTGGGTGTCCCTCCACCAGATGCGGTGGGGCTCAGTCATTTCCAGGGCAAAGCCAGAGCTGCGATGCACAAGGAGTTGGTTAACCAGCTTCTGTGCAAACTTCCTGCTCGCAGGGGTGCCAACCAGCTCCTTCCACCCCCACCCCAAAGCTGGGCTCCCAGGTGGCAGAGCTGTTTGGCTGAGTGAAGAAGGTCCCAGGCATGACTCCCACCCCCACCCCCAGGGAGCCACGCCCAGGGTGCTAAGCAGGAGCCGTGTGGCAGCAGCCTGATTTGCAAGAGTACCCGATGGAACTCCCTGCCACAAGGGACCCACCTTCCCACAAACCCAGGACTGCCTGCAGACAGAAGAAACCAGGCAGGAGGGGAACTGCCCAGGCTGCCCACTTTCCTCCGTGCCCTCCTCACCCCCCCCCCCAAAGCGGCAGGGGGAAGAAGCACGGGGGGGGGGGGGGAGAGAATGGCCGGCTGAGCCGATACCCAGGAATAATAATTGCCACCGATCAAGCCTGACCTCTGGGATGGGAGGCCACCAAGCGATCGAGGCATCAGCCTGCCGGTGATTTCAGCTGCAGCTGCATTTCTTAATGTATTTGTCTGCTTTAATGTACTTTGTCTGCAGCTGCCTAGTGTCTCAAGCAATGGCTTCTTCAGCTGGACCCAGGCTGAGTTTCTCCCCACATTGTCTCTGCCGGACAAGTCAGAGACAGCAGCAGCCCCTTCGGACACCTGGTGGCCCCCTTTTTCCCCACTCAGGGAGCTGATGCAACGGTTTGTGGGACCCTGCACGACAAGCCCTGTGCTTTGCCAGAAACGGAGACCCTGGCAAGCCAGCCAATTTTAAGGGGCCCCCCTCCCCTCCTCACTACCCCAGCCCAGCAACTACAGGTCAGGCAGCCCCAAAAGACCCTCTGGGCTCTGGAAGAAAGGACCACCCCCAAAGCTCCAGTATTCAGGAAGACTATCCCTCAAGAGTGAGGCTCCACTAAGCGTCAGAGCCCTTAGCCTAAATTTCTTGGCAAACCTGCCCAGAAAACCACCAGCAGCAACAGCAGCAGCCACCCCAGTCCCCGGCAGCCTTGAATGAAATGTTTCCCCCTGGCACAAGCTGTCCTCCTTCCTCTGCCTGCCAGCCCCAAAAGCAGAGAGGGCGGGGGACGACCCCAAATCCCTCCTACCGAGCAGATCGCAGGCTGAAGGACCAGCCCGCCCCCGCCTTTGCAAACGATGCCCTGCCGAAACCTGCGGGGGGAAAGCCGGGTTTTCGGAGCCGCGGTTCTCTCCTTTGCCGCCCTGCCACCCCTGGCCGGGGAACTCTGCACGTGCCCAGCGGGCGCTTTCCCCGGGATGCCAGCGGGGAGGCCTGCCTGGCGCCTGCCCGCCGCCCCCTCCCTCCTCTCTCTGCGTCGCTCCGGCTCTGAAGCCCGGCTTCCCCCTCCCCCCGCCGCAAGAGAAGCGGGGGGGGGCCGGGGGGGCCCCCCTCCCGCCCCCCCCCCCCCCCCCCTCACTGCCGGAAGAGCCGCTCCATGTCCTTGATCTGCCGGCGGGAGAACTCGCGGAACTCGCCGTAGGGGCTGAAGACGCGGTGGGCGCCGGCCGGCGAGAGCTGCCCGGCCGGGGGGGCTCGGGGCCCCGGCGACCCCTCCGCCTCGCCCTCTTCCTCCTCCTCCTCCGCCGCCGCCTCGGGCCCCCCCTCCACGCGCAGGCGGCGGCTCAGCTTGCCGGCCAGCTCCTCCGTGGCCATCCTGGCGGCGGCAGCAGCGCAGGCAGCCGGGGCGCCTCCCCTCCGCCGGCCAGCCGAGCCCGGCTCCGCCCCGACGGCCACGGGAACAGGGGAAGGGGGCGCGGCGGGCGGCGGCCCCCGAAGCGCCGAACCACCGCTCCCATCATCTGGCGCCCCGGCGGGCCGGGGGGCTGCTGGGAGTCGTAGTTCGCGCCGGCCCCCTCCGCGCTCCCCCGCCCGCCCTGCTCCGAGAACTACCGCTCCCATCATCCTGGCCCCGGGGAGGAGGAAGCGGCCAAGGCAATGGGGCCAATGGCCCCGCTCGATGCCCAGCTGGGAAGGGGGGCTCGCGGGCGGGGGGGGGCAGGGACCACAAAGACCGTCGTTGCTGGCTTGGAGGGAAGGAAGGACGCGCGGGGGGGGGGGGGGGGCACCCCCCCCCCCAAGAAAACGAGGCAGAAACAGGGCAGCCTCCCTCCGAGGCCCCTCTGCGCCAGCCTTGGGGGATGGTGGCTCCCCGAGAGAGACCAGGCCACCTTTGCGGGGAGGGCCCGGGGCCTGGGCCGCCGTTTCAGCCGCAGAGACGCTGCAGGGCCAGGTGCCAATCGCTGCCTCTCCTTCCCAAAAGGGCTCAAGGAGCCCCCCCCCCCTTGCCCAACAGAGCTGCAGAGGAAGGAGGGGGGGCACACAGGGTTTTCCTGCCAGCCTCCGTGGGTCCCAACGCCTAAGAAGAGCAACACACGCACACACACCCACACCACACCTGCCCTGCCCTTCAACCAGAGCACAAAGAAAGCTGCTCCTGGGGGGGGGGGGTGGAAAGAAAAACTTGGGCAGAAATGCAAAACTGGCCCTCGTCATCGCTCTTTCCCCAGAGTCAGGGAGACCCCCCCCCAGGACCCCCCCTCCCCTGTGCACAAAGCATCTTTCTCTCGCCTCAAAGACATTCAAGGGTTGCCACTTTAGTGTTTTCAAATTTAAGTAAAGAATACCACTTTTTACAAAACGTGATTTTAAAAAAAGTCATAATGTCCTGGGTCTCCTGCATTCTTTGACGTGAGGGTGATCACCTAGTCTGTAACCCAGAGGGGGGGCAGGGGGAGACATGATGAATCCCTTCGGTCCCCCTCCCCAGCATCCTCCAGGCCAACAGAGGGAGGCTGCAGGTACCTGGCAGGGGCTTGATCAACCGCCTGCTGCCCTTTCCATTTCCAAGGAGAGGCAAAAGAGGGCAGAAGGCAGGCCCTTCCTCCTCCCCCTCCTCCCCCGGGGACCCTTGGGATTGTTCTCTCTCTCCCAGAGCATCGCCCTGCCTGGGCCTCTCTCCAGAGGGAGGAAGAGGAGGTGGGCAGTGTGTGGGGGGGGGGGATGCTGCCCTGGCCTCTGGGTAGCTCCCGGGCATTTGGGGATGGGGTCCTCTCTCTCTGGCCCCCTGCCTTTCCGCTCTGCTTACAGCCCAAGGGAAGGCCTGGGGGAGGGGGGGGCTTCATGGGTGAGGGGACGGCTGGGAGGCTCTCATAGGAAAAGCCCCCCTCCTCCTCCGCCTTCCTCCCCCCCAGGCCTGGCCTTGCCAGGGGCTTCTTGGGGAGAAATCAATTGTCCCATGGGGGGGGCGGGGGGGGGGGCTTCCCACACAGACATCAGCGCCCGGTTCCCCAGCAATCCCGCCAAGCTTAGATCTGCACCCACACAGATCCCCCGAGACAGATGGAGGCCACAGGCAGGGCGGCTGAGGCTGGGCCTGGGCTTTCCTAGAACAGGCCCAGTCCGGGGGAGGCCCGGTCGGGATCCTGGCTGCCCCCCCGCCCGGCCCCCCTTTCCCTGCTTTGGCCTGGGAGCATTGGCGGCCCCCCACCCTCCGGTCTGGGTTGGGGGAGTGGGGGTGGGCCGGGAGAAGGGCCGAGCAGAAGCGGGGGCCGTGCCCTCCCCCACACAGTGGGGTGCCAGGCAAGAAGAGGGTGCCCCCTTCCCCCCCCGGCCCCCGCAAGGGGGGGCGGGGGGGGGGGGGGGGCGGGAAGCCGGCCAGAGATGCTCCTCCTGGGGAAGGTCAGCTTCCGGCCAGGCCAGAGCGGGAGGAGACGAGGCACGGCCATTTCGGGAGGGGGCAGGGGGGCCGAGAGCAGAGCCTGCAGCACAGATGGCTGCGGCTGCTGCGGCTGCTGCGGCTGCAGAGGCGCCTGGCTCAGAGGGTGCCCTGTCCTCGAGTGACCCCCGCGGATGCTGCAGAACAAGCGGGCAGGGGTGCCACCCGGAGAAGGCGGGAGACCTCCCCCCCCCCCCCCCGCGGGGCCGGGGTGGGCCAGGGGGGGGGTGCGGGGGGGGGGGGGACCCCTCCAGGAGATAAAGGAGCCACCTGGGACGGGGGAGGAATTTCCTGGCTTTGCCTTCAGAGGTTGTGGGCGCTCCATCCCTGGAGGCTATTAAGGGGAGAGTGGACAGCCACTTGTCCAGAGTGGCATAGAGTCTCCTTGCTTGGGCAAGGGGTTGGACTAGAAGACCTCCAAGGTCCCTTCCAACTCTGTGATTCTGTTCATCCCTGCTGTTCATTGGGTGCTTGTTTTTTAAAAAAATACTTATTTTAACGTTTTTTTAACTTACCTTTTTAAACTTTTAATGATTTCTATACAATCTCACATGGTTTTTTAGGGGCTAAAGGAGAGAAAAAAATCATCCTTATTAAGGGCCAGTCAGAGAAATGCATTGTGTAATTTTGCTAGGAGAAGCCTGGAGGGGGGGGGGGGGGTTTTTTAAGAGGGCCCCCCCCCCCCTTGGGGGGAAAAAAAAACCCATGGCAGATTAAAATTCACTTTTCTTACTCTTTTGGTAGCAGCCTTCTTTGTGTCTGCAAAGACAGGTTGTTTGGCGATTTCCTAATTCCACTGATCATGTCACTCCAGAACAAGAATTAATTCAACCTCCTAGCTAAACGAATGGGATCACCCATGGAATCAATAAAGTTTGGTCATATGACCCCAATCTTGACAGCAGACTTTCTCTAAGCAGCCTGGGAACAATGGGGGGGAATGGAGTCCGGCCCATTTGGGGCAGCCTGAAGCCCCCCTGAGGCCTCTCTTCAGGTGCTCCGAGACCCCACATGTCGCCCTCTTGGAAGCCCCCAAGCAAAACAGGCCCTGGAACCGAGGAAAGGGGGGGGGGGGAAAGGGGAGTGGGAAATACCCCAAGCACCTGTGGAAAATGCCGTTTTGTTAGGAAAGCTTCATCCATTTCAAATAAAATCCTTTACAAAGGGCATCACCCAGCAAATCTATGGAAACGCTGTGGTTACATTTCATATGTTCAAGCAGACAGTAAGACAGTTATTGTTTATTATACGCAGCTACCAAAAGTGCAAAATAAAAGAGGCTCGCTGACCATTTCTCAAAAATCTCAAATTCAAATATAAAAACGTGTGAAAAAACATCCCTGTCCTAGGAAACTATAAGAAAATCCAAAGCTTGTTTACAATAAATCCACATTGATTCTTCTTCCTGGGTCATTTCCTATTTCAATATTAATAGTTTTATTGTTTAGCCTAAATGTCTCCTAAGCACATTTGATTGTTGTCAGTGAAACTGGAAAATAAGTTGGGGGAAAACCCCTATTTCTCTTACCTTTGGAAGCTGCCTGCCACATTCGGGACGGAAAGCACCGGCCGACATGCCCAGGCCAAGAACAGCCTTTTTAGCCACCGGCCCCCCGAGATATTTGTCTGCACCTGAGGGAAAATCTCCTTGAGGGGAAAAGCTAAGAAAACAACACCTGGCTGAGATTTTTTTAAGGTGAATGGTGTAGAAAGGGAGGGGGGAGAGAAGAGGGCGGAGGAAGGCAGGAAAGAGGAAGGAAAAAAGGATCAATTCCATGACAAATCTCACAACAGGAGCCGTTTCCTTTTTCCTTTTCTTTTACTTAAAGACACTTGACGGGTGCTTGCATCCTGCCCCCAAATGAACATCCGGGGTCCTTAACGGAAGACGTTACTGGTCTCTTTCCCGCCGAGTCTCGCCCGAGAGAGGCCTGCGCGGAGCCTCTCCAGAAACCTGGTCCTTGTGGGCAGCACTGTGACTGCCTGCGTCCCAAACGCCCACTTGCAAAGCGCAAGAGCCACAGTGCAACCTGACGGGCGAAGTTTGTCACCCGAAAAAGGGGCCACTTCACTTCAGCATCCTTTCGTGGAAGAGGCAGAGCGGCGCTGCCAGTCACGGACCGCTTTCCAGGAAGGAGGCAGCGCTCGGGGCAAAGGCGCCAGTCACAGCCGCTCTCCTGGGGCAGGTTTTCCAGCGGTTCCTCCTCTGCCTCCCGAGGGTTGGCTGGCCGGATGGAGACTCAGGAGAACTGGCCCTTTTTGCCCAGATCACCTTTGCCTTGAGGGTTGGAGACAGGGCCTGGGTGGGCAGGCTGTGGGCTTCGGGCAGCAGACTGGCACCCCCTTCCCGGCCTCAGGCCTTTCCAGAGGGACCCACAGATGGACGCAGAGGGCCAACAGCAGTTCGTGCAAAGAGGAGACTGTCAGAAGGACGGACAGGCCCTCCGGGGGAGGCTGGGACTGGCTGTGCAGCAGGCGGAGCCTCCCTTTCCCTCCCTTTCCCTGGGCTGCCCACCGACCCCCCACTACCCTCTCCCTGGCAGCAGGCACAATGCCACCCCCCACCCCCCCGCATCCCCTCCTGCCACGGGCCTCCAGTCTGCTTGGGACGCTCCCGCTGCGCTGGCGGGGGGGAGGGAGGGGGGCTGGTTTGCTTGGGGATCCACGTCTGAGCAGAGCTCCTCGGCCACCCTGCCCCTCCCGGGTGGCAGCTTTCACCCCACTTTAGAAACAAGGGCGCCCCCTCCCCACCCCCACCCCCCAAGCCAGCGGGTGAGGGTTTGGCAAACCTCGGTTCATCCTCCTGAGAAGCCAAACTTAGCAAGGGGGACGTTGCTTCGGCCTGGGAGTCATAAAACTGTCCTAGGAGGGGACAAGCAACGCCTGTCCTTCCCGCCGCTTGTGTCTCTGTGAAATGCCCTCGCCTGCCCCCAAGCCACGTTGCCCCCAAAGCCCCT